AAAAAGAGGCCAAGAGAGGGCAAAGTTTGCCAAGTGATTTGGATAAGTTCGATATTGCGTAGGCAAGTCAATAAACTGGCGGGGGAAAATCATCGGGGGAACGCGGCTCTCCGAGACTGGCCAACAAATATTTTGACATTTTTCCAGCAGCAGCCATAAATCACTCAGCATCTAAGCGAGAGCGAGATGGAGATTGAGAGAGCAGCGGAGGATGTCTGACATGATTTCTGGACTCATAATTAGAAAATTAGTTCAAGTAATGCTGATGATGGGGGGGAGGACAGAGGGAAAAGGTTACCTTACCCTAACTTTAAGCAAGCTTGTACTTTCTGGGTGTTAAAAGTTGAATAGTTGTTTAAAATTATTGCATACTTTCTGGCGCCAAATTCTGGTAAATTTTACAAACACAAACTAAAATCAATCTTGTGAGCAATATACTCGACCGTTCTATAAGAAATTTGCGATACAGCTAAATAAAATATGCCTTTGAACATTACAATCATCAAAAAGTTGTTTAAACTTAAAAAGACATAATAAAAGCGTTTAGGACTGCTTAATAATGGTTTCAAGAAGGTGTAGGCTTGAAGTATATGATTTATGAACCTTATATGACAAGCAGATCCTATCCTTTAGGCATCCGGTTGATCCTTGATTTATCTGTGTATATATCTTTGAATTTTTCTATATATATTTCCGTAACTCACTCCATTCCTTCTGCGGATTGTCAAGTGCTAAGTGCTCGAAAGTGGCGAGCTACGCGTCACAGGAGCAACTCCGGCACTTTGACAGACTATTATGCGAGAAAGGTTTCTTTCACTTTCCATGGCTGTAGAGCAGAGAATCTAGGGAGTAGGGAAAGGAGAAAGGGAATATAAACGGGAAGCAGAGAATCGGGGAACCCGAGAAGCGGAGAACCGGAGAAACCAGACGGGGGAGAAGCGGAGGAGCGAAAGATGTTCGAGTCGCTGCGGAACTGTCATTTCCGTTTTACTTGTAAAATGAACATGGAAGTATTCGAGGCAGCCGACAAAGTGGCAGCAGTAGCTATGGCTACAGCTATGGCCATGCTCATAGGAACTCTAGCGGGCGGATCGGAACGGAAAGGAGCAGCTGACGCTGACTTGTTATACACTAAACTGCCCGAGGGGCGGGCATTGGAAGGGGGGCCTAAAGCGGACGGACGGCGGTAAGCGGAAGGATGAACCAGGCCAGACAGACAGACAGACAGAGACAGAAAGAAAGAGAGAGGGAGAGAGACCGGGAGCGAGACAGAGACGGACAGACACAAAGGGGCGGACGGACGGACGGACAATTGCGTTTAACGTTTTTCGCAAAAACTTTTCGCTCCGCTTTCGTTGTATATTCTGCGCTAAAGGAAATTGCCGGCGAGTCACAGACGGAACGGAGGCAGTGTTGTTAACAATAAATTACAAAATATAGCTAAATCAATGTGTAATAAAAATATCTTGGTATTGGGGAGATTAAATTATATATAAATAAAGGTTTAGGATAAACGTCTTAAAGATATTCATACTCATTCGGGTAAATATGACAAGATTAGGATGGTTATAGGTGTATCCTTGATCTCATAACACATTTATTTATGCTTATTAAAATGATGATTTTCTATGAATATTATATTTAATGAATACCCATAATAATAAATTGTAAATTTGAAAATCTTCAATGGCTTTCTTACCCTAACTTTTGGTTAATATTAATAAATCTAAAAAGTTACCTTTAAATTTGGATATTCCTTATTAGTACACCCAAAACTTGGCTTGAAATTAGCCAACGTGACAGCTCTTGAAGGAGTGGCGGCAGAGGGCGGTTGTGAATTGCGGCAGGGAGGGGCTGTGGCGGAGCGGGTGGTTCGGGGCAACAACGCAACCAAGCATTTCGCACTGTTCCCGCTCCGAAGGTAACAACGCAAGAAAATGCCAGGCAACAAGACAAGCAGAACTGACGTAAAAAGATTTTTGTGTTTCCCCCCGGACCGGCTAACCCCCTGCACCACACCGCCCCCTGCCTTGATGGGGGTGGCGTCTGGCCGGATTGAAGCCTCATCATGGAGCTTTCGCCCTCAACGATAAAGGCGAGTGCGATCTTTAAACGCTGTCCAAACGCTGCGAAGTCCATTACGAATATTTTTTGGAATGGGAATGAAATTTCAACGCGTGCGACTTTAGATTGGAAAAAGTTGCCAATGAAATGGGAAAATTTTAATTAAATGTTACAAATTTGGGTTGTTTCACTCGACTTGAAAAGAGATTTGCTTCAATATGGATACCTTCAGGAAGTATTTATAAAATTGGGAAACGTACAAAGGGATATTTTGTGTTTACAAACTAACTGCAAGATTATTTCCTGCTCATCTTTAGTTTATTTCAATTTTACTTGCAAAACATCTTCACAAACTGTTTAACTTCCTGTGGCACTTTTAAGGAAATCTTAGAGTTTCCCCAAGACTTCAAAAAATCAAAAAATTTAAAGCTTTTCCTCTTCCAAAATTTGACATCCACATCCCCTAAAACCGAAAAATGGAAAATGTTACATTTTTTTCACTTACAATGCAGAATTTCTCTGGCTAAAGAAAAACTATTAAGCGATGGAAGGGAAAATTTTAATGAAAAATCTTTTGGCCAGCATGCAAAAGCCACTTGAAAGGGCTCTGCTGCCCCGTCTCTTTCCCTCCCACACTCGGCCCCTCTCTTTCACTCTCTTTCAGTGACATGAATGCTGACAACGTGTCTTAGTTTGCACAAAACGAGCTCAAGAGATGCAGTCAACACACACACATACACAGGCACATGGCTTTTCCATTACCAGGACATGGACGCCTGTTGTTGACTCCTTTTCTGCCAGTGTCTGTTTTCCGGGCTTGTCATGTTAAAGGAATTTTAATTTAATTACAAGCCAAGAGTGAAGGGGGAGTATGGGGTATGGGAGGAGACGTTCTCATATTTTCAATTTAAAACAATAAATAGGAAAGTAATAGATTAGCCTGCCAAAGATATGGAAAATGCACAGGAAAAAAAGATATTGATTAGTAAGAAAAGTGAAAATTAAACTGATTTTACTCAGGTTACTAAGAGAAGAAAATATCTAAAACCAACTTAACTTTCCTAATTTACATCAAAATTTATTTCCCACCTGTAAACATTTTCCTTAAAGTTGTTAACATTTCCAGTGCAGTCCCCCCAGCACTTTGTTAATAATCAATAATAAAAATCAGATCCGCATAAATCATTTCCTGCTGTCTAGCTAGATGCCTATCGCTCTTGTCTGGGAAATTAGGAAAACTTCAGCAGAGCAGAGGAGAGAGCCCCTTCCAGAAATCCACATTTTCAATTTTCATAATTTTCGGTTGAGAGAATTGCGCCGTCGGCGTTGACACCAAAATCAATATCAACGAAAATTCCTTGCAGGCTTTGTTTTTCCACAGGTATTTTTCTTCTTAGCTCAACTGCTTTGTCATATCAACAGACGCTGCATGCCCCGTGTCCCTCCCCTCTGGAGGACTCCAATATTTTGTGGCAAGGCCGCACGTTCGTGCGTTCGTGCCAAAAAATAATTTCCTACTCGCCGCCAGACGCAGTGGCGAAGCTGAAACCAAGGAGAGTTCCCATCTGAGGGGCAACTTGAGCGCACTTATTGTTATCAACGGCTGAAATATGGCATTTTAATTTTATTAGCTGCCTCTACATGCAGCACACTCCCAGGCCGAATGGATGTGCAGATGATGATGGCCCTGGCGACGCCGATGACAATCTCTGAAAGCGACAATGGGATCAAATGGCTTTTTAAGAGCACTTCAGATGGCCAACAGGAAGTGATTGCTGGGAAATTATTTTCATTTAATGGATATATCTTCTATCATCTTAATAGAGATTAGGAGGCACTAGAAATGTTCCCTGAGAACGATTAACGAGCTGAAGAAATGGAAAGTTTGTCTCTCCTTTCGTTTATACTTACATTTTAGGACTTATCTTACTTTCCAAGATAGTTTATTTAATTATATATTTTCCATAAGATTCCTATGAGAAGATCTTTCTTATATCCCAAAATCTCAAACCTATAATATTTCCCCTATAACTCAAACGTTTTCCCACTCGACACCCCATTGGCTTCCATAGTACGGGTTGTTATTCTTCTGGTCGTGATTGTTTTTGCTTTTGGCGGATCCCTCCACTTTTCGACAGCCGGGAAATGGCTGAGGCTGTTGGCATTTCAGTAGGGGGTGTTAAGAGAGAAAGTGAGACGGAGGGAGAGAGACTCCCACCGAATGCGCATGTCGAGAATCTCTAAGAGAATCTGGTATTGGACACCCATGCAGAGCTATCAAAGAGCCATAAAGTTATAGTTGCCACAGCAATGAAGTCATTTACCCAAAGTTTATGGCTAGTTGCAAATTGCGTTATTATTATGTGTGTGGAAGGCTACTGCCGGCTCTTTATCTCATTCTCTTGACCCAGTGGGCCGTTCTCTTAAGTAATATAATTTATTACGCCTTGATTTGACCCCCCTACTGGCCCGCCCCCTTGTTGTTGTCACTTCGTTGGGGGGCTTTTGTTAAGCATTTTCGAGCGCCAGCCAAAACGCTCCCAAATAAGAGGAAGAAGCCATTTTGGAGGAGAGCAGAAAATGCGGAAAATGTGGAAAATACGGAAAATACTTTTGTGTTTTGGCTCCTAAGGCGGCCAACGAAACTGGAGGCATCTCTAGTTGGCAATTTCGCAGCGTCGAGTCGAGAGAGATTCGAGCGCAATAATTTTCCCGGAGAAAAACGTGGCAAGGAAAAGCGTTAAAGCAATAACTCAGTATCATCCGTATGATTTTCCGTCGGCAAATGGGTTTTCACTGATGCCCTGTACGAGAATTAGCATAAACAGAGTGTTCGATTGATTTTGGCCAAATGTGCGGCTGACACGGCCAATGGATCTGAGTCCTTGCCCGCCCCCCTCCGCGTCAACAATCCCCTTCGGCCGTATCGAGCGAACATGTGCCCCATAACTCCCGTTGAGCTACTGTCCACGATTATCCTCGAAAAGCGAAAACTACGGCGCAAGTCGGCGAAGCGGAAAAAGTATCGCAAATAGCCGAAAATATTTCTCTATTTCCTCCCAAAAACTCATCAATTTTCCGGAGGTTTCTGTTCGACGGAAAGTGTCGCTCAATCCACTGCAGGTAATCTCCCTTCCTTAGTTTCTGTTTCTTTTTCTGTTTTTGTTTATTTTTATTTCGGGTCTATTAAAAGTTCTATAAAGTTTCGAAACATCTGCTGGGGCGAAAGTTTTCCCGCTCGGCAAGTGTCGAAAATGCTTTGTATAAATAATTTCTGCGGCTTCATGCAGTTCGCTTTGCTTTGGGGTCGAAGTGCATTATTTTGATGAGCTGCCCGGGGAAAGTTGTTTACGTTTCTGGTTTTTGTTTTTAGGAAGTGGCCTTGGGAATTAGTATTTTGTGTTTAAATGGGAATTTTCAAATAAGTAACTTGGGTATAAAAAGAAATATATATATGGATGGGGATCATGTTGGATGATTCGCTGCATTCCACCTTATGTTTCTTAATATTTAACCAAAGTTAACCTTACACAATTTTACAGATTTTCTAAAGTAATATTACCATTTACAAAGCTAAAAACTTAAACTAAAACATACCCAAAACTTGTCATTTAAAAACCAAAATGTAAACTTGCTTGGCTAAACTTTCTTTCTGTTTTTCCTTCCCATTTTCCATTCACTTTTCCGCTTTCGCTGAGCTATTTCCAGAACTATTTCCCATTGAGCGTCTTGCACAGCTGAAATCTGTTCAATTTACCACAAATATTCCTTGGCCTGGCCGTATAGGAATACCTGGCCTCCGCATTTTCCGCTCCCCTCATCCCGGCGCTTTTTCCGTTGTTGTTCGTGGCGCCCCGCATGTCACCGAAAAAAAGGGAAATGTAATGCATTTCCACCGCGGCTGCCACATCGAAAATGGAATTGAGCAATGCAACAACAATGAAATGTGTGTAACGCATGAGATGAAATGAAATGCAACACGCGCTGAGGGCAGAAAGGAAAATAACAAAAAAACTGAAAAACTGAAAAACTGAAAAACGAGAATTGAAAATCAGGCAAGCGAAAAGCAAAGCAAAAAAATAAAGGAAGCAAAACTGCAGACCGGGAAAAAAGGAATTTTAAACATGGCGCGAACATAATGTCCTGTGTCCTTGCCTGTCGCCGTCTCGCTCTTCCGTCTTCCCTCTCTTTCCTTGCGAATTTCCCCTCCACCGCTGTTGTTGGGAAAATCGAACATTGATTTATGGCGTGTGCGAATGTCGGGGAGGCAAAAAAACGTATATATGGATATATATATAGGGGAAAAGGGGCTGACAACGATGATGCTGATGAGCTGGAATTGTTTTTGATATGTCCCGGGCAGAGAGCGGATGGTAGAGAGGGAGGGGAAACGAGACAGAGGCAGAGACGGACATAAAGACAGATGCAGGTCGGTTACATGGATGTATATCGGAATACGAGTATATATGTCCGTACATTTACAGGAACGATTCTCGGGGTCCCTCATTGCCTCGATTATTATTATTATTATTTGTGGCAAACGGAGGGAAAGGGAAGATCCCTCTCTTCCCTCTCCCTCCCTCGCTCGCCCGATCGGATATATCCCTCCAGCCTGCCTCATTTCGCATTCATCGATGTTGCATTTACAACAACAAGAGCAGCCGCAAAACAACAATGAGGGGGACAAAAAACTGCAAATGCAATTCGTAACGCATAAATTTAAAAAGAAAAAATGAGACAGTGGCGGTGGCGGTGGGCAAGAGGGGTTGTAGGGCGGGGGAAATGCAAGTGAACGCGTGTCACATGTCGATTTTCGATTGTTCGCAAATTAATATATAAAACACAACGATGCGGTCTGGCTTTTCTGCGGTTCTCCCATCTCTCATCTCTCCCTCTCCCCAAACCCAGACCCAAACTTACATAACCCCCCTCGGCGAATTTACATGTTACAATTGCGGATATTGAAAATGTATCGATTTGTTGGCCGAGTCTGAACTTGTCAGGAGCAACATTTTCAATAACAATTTTTAATTCGAAAAAAGAACTTTTGTGGGAATCAATGAAAGGAGAGGTTGAGCTTAACAAGGGATTAAAATGCTTATAAAAAGGTTGAAATATGTTTAAAAAGTGGTCTAAGCTATACTAAGTAATGTGTATTATTTAAACTTAATCTCCTGCTATAAGTTACATCTTTCTGCACTTGATCAAGAGACTCAAAAGGCCACCTAGAAGTCCCGTTGGTAAGGAGTTTCTTCAACAGAGGTTGAGCTTAACAAGTAATTAAAATCACCTAAAAAGGTTGAAATACGGTTGAAAAACGGTCTAAGCTATACTACTTTATCGCCTCTTATAAGTTACTTCCCTCTGCACTTGATCAAGAGACTTTAAATGCTTCCTAGAAGCCCCGTTTCTAAGGAATTTCTCCACGGCAAAGGCCCAAATTCTCAACGAATCAACTCCATCTACCACTCTTAGCCCCCAAACCCCTACACCAACCAAATAGATCCCTGTCTCCGCACTAAATCTATCTAACTAAATCTAAACTCGTTTGGGCCTGCCATTGCCGACGGCCAAACACGCGCTGGTAATTGCTGCAATTGGCGCTCATTTCTCTGTCATAAATATCTTTTTGGCCAACTTCAGGCTGGCGCAAATTATCGCATCATGCATGGTCGTCGCTTGAGAGGGGAGGGGTGGCAGAATAAATTGTAAATCACCTTCACACCAAAAGCAAGGGGCGGGGGTGGAAAACCGATTTCCCAACACGGCCCCCAAGTTCAGAGAGCTTGCACTAGAAAAGCGAGTTAATAAATTACGTGTAAAACAACGTGTGAACTAACATAAATAATTTCCCGCTGCACATTTCCCAGTCACTCCTAGGAACAATCGATTAAGCGTAGATAAAAATCAATTTGCGGCCATAATAAATTGCTCAACTACCAGGAGCATAAGTCCTGCCCCTGCACCACTCCGCATGTTGCAGCAATTTAGCTTCATTTTGCCAGACTCTCGCCAGTCCCCCGAACAAATTGGCCAGCAAGCTGAAAGTAAAAGAAGGCTAAAAAGAAACTAAACTAAAATAAACTAAAAATCTTGAAGAAGAGCCAGCCAAGTCGAGGCAGGCAAAAATTTACAAACATTGTAATCACGGGTTAAATATCGCCAAAGCCAGGGCCAGCTGCTCGCAGTCCACAGCCTTCTTAACCCCGAAAGTATCTAGAGTTGAGAATCTTCCACCTCCATGGAGTGCTCAAGGATGAGGAGTGGAGCGGGGTCTGTGGATTAATCACCGCGGGCAGGGCAAGCCCCAGACTCCAAGGCTCTTTTGGTTGCAGCCCGCAAAGCCCGACTTCGACTTCGACTTCGACTTCGACTCGAACTCCCACTCCAACTTCATCTGCAACTGCAGCTGGAAGTCTGCGGCCGAAGCTCAGTCCCATCCACTTGCCCAGCGCTGCTCGCCGAGATCACGATTCACAACTTAATCCCAGCCAGCTAGCTCAGCCGGTTTCCCTTGCCCTCCTCGGACACTTGAAGAAATAATTGTTAAAGTTGCTTGAATGTTTTATTTTTCAGAATTTGTATATTAAAGAAAGTTAATCAAAACTGAAAATTAATCAAAAACTAACTAAATATTTCTCCCTCTGCACACCATCTCGAAGTGCAGCTTCATCTAGAAAGGTGCAGCACCGTTTGTCCATTTGTTTCTGATGCTTTGGCTGCGTTTCGTATTTTGTTCATTTCACATTTTTATTTAACATCCGCAAATCGTCTGCCGCCCTCTCTTGTATTTTTTCCAGCCACGCCCACCGATTCGTGGAGGCCAGGCATTGGCAATAGCAAAAAAAAATAACCGAAAAATGTTGCCAACTGATTCATCGAATCCGAAACAAAATGAATTCATTTGTGAGCTCTCAGAGCTCTTGCCGTGGGGCAAGGAGGGGCACTCGCCATTCTGAGGGGGAGGCCGGAGCGGCCTTTTCTAATTGAAGTGTTTGTCTAGACCCTGGAGCGGTGAATGTTGCAAGTGATTAGCAAATGGCAGGCAGAGGAGTAAGTTCGAGCTGGGAGCTGGGCTTGTTAAACGATCCGAAACGGAAGATGGGTGGACTTTGGGGATCCCTGGGGAGGATTATGGTTGAGCTCGTATACTCGTAGGTAGATATTTAAATATGGTTAATAGGAGGACTATGATGAGATGGAGGTCTCTGACTATATGTACTTACTCTATATTAAGGCATTTGCAAACTTTCTTTATGAGAAGAATCATTTAAGAAAGAGCTCCAAAAACGGGTTTATAACTTCACTTTATAACTCATCAGTTAATCCTTTCGCTATCACACATCCTTCCTTCAACTCTTTCAAGGAAAATAACAAATTTATTTATTATACAAATATTTAAATACTCTCCCGTCGAACCTTTTGAATTTCTAATTCATATAAATCGCTTGTCAGCTGGAATGCATCCCTTTTTACTTTTACCTAACCAACTTTAATATTTTTTAACGCCATTTCAAAGCTGGCTTTTCACGTTCGACAAACGGCATCAGTCGGGGAGTGGAAAACCAGCCAGCAAAAAAAACAACAGAAAACAACAGCTCGACGCGCACTTTTATCGGAGGGTAATAATTCATTACACACTTTTTCGCCTCCTTTTTCCCCCTTCCGCGCTTTTCCTTCAGCCATCAGCTGGCATCGGAAGTGCTGCATTTACCGCAATCGACGGCCATTTTCCCCATGCTCCTGGGAGTGGAAGAGGGGAAAGGGAAAACGCAGGATCGGTCAGTTAGCGAGAAAAGCTAACACACACGAGAGGCAGGAGTCCCGTTGATAAGACATACGCACCTAGAAAAAAGAAGGGAAAACAAGGAAAAAAAGGATAAGGCTGGATAAGCCACTCAATTAACTAATTGTCCTCAAATGATATTCATTAGAGGAAAAGCCCTGGCCAGCGGGGACTTTGGGGCAGGGGCAGTGGGAAAACCAGCCTGATGGATAAGATTTCAGTTATCGTAGGACCAAAAAAAAATAAGGAAAAACGAAAAAGAGGTCCAAGCGGGACCATAAATCAATGTAACTGTCAACGT